TATGGGAAGTGAAACACACAACAAGTTACTTCAAATTCAACCACCACCAAACCCTGCAATTCCTTCATTATTGCGGGCGAAGCCGCAACAGGTCCCCTAGTCCCCTTTAACTTTTTCACTGTCATGCGATTCTGCAAGAAGTGGCGCAAGCACATGGACGATGAGCAATGGTATGTTGTTTTTGTTCATCCTACCTATGTGTCTTTTACTTTACAACTAGTTTTAGTTCTACTTTGCATGATGTGCCTACTTCTAATGCTTTTACTTCTACTTCTACTTCTCTAGTCCAAATGATTCTACTTTGAATTAAGTTGCCTTAGTTGCTAATTTGCAGCGTGATTTACGTGACCTTCTTCTGTTTCTCCACCCCCGGAAATCCCAGCAAACATGCAAAGCCTTCTCAATCGATTTTCGGAAGTCCTAGCCGAACCGTGTGGAGTCCCCATGCGTTCGGTCAAACACACGATCGGATTGATCGAAGATGCTATTCCTCCAAAGGGCTATCTGTATGGACCCAGCGAGTTGGAGGAACTCCGGAAGCAGATCAATGAGATGATTGACAAAGGGTGGATTAAGGCTAGCAAATTTGAATTTGGTGCACCTGTTTTATTTATCCCGAACAAAGGAGGCAAGCTCTGAATGTGTATTGATTACCTCGTTCTAAACCGTATCACAAGAACAAATGTTTATCCATTACCACGCATCGATGACTTGCTTGATGCTGCAGGTGGGTGCAAGGTCTTCTCCAAGATCGATCTCAAGTTTAGTTACCACTAGATTGAGGTCAATCATGTGGGACCAGCACAAAACTACATTCAAGACTCGCGATGGGCTATACGAATTTACCGTTATACCTTTTTGTTTCACCACGAATGCACTGGTCACCTTTCAAAGTCTCATGAACAAAGTGCTCGGGAACAAATCGGTCAATTTGTTATTGTCTATCTTAATGACATTTTGATCTTCAACAAATTGATAGAGGAACACTTGAGACATATTGAGGAGGTGTTCAACATTCTCAAGAAAACGCAGCTCCATCTCCACTTGGAAAAATTTGAGCGGGACAGCATCATCTATCTTGGACACAGGTTGTCTGCTGCAGGCCTTGAGCCTGAGGCAACCAAGGTTGAGGTCATACGCAACTGGCCTCAACTAGCTAATATACGTGAGCTGCGTTCTTTTCTTGGCCTTGCATCATACTATCGGAAGTTTGTGCCGGCCCATTGTCTAGACTAATAAGCAAGAATGTATCTTACACATGGGTGAAGCATGTGAGATTGCCTTTCAAGTTTTCAAAGAGGCTTCAATGAGTCATCCTGTGCTCCGTATTGCAGATCCCAAAGTCACATTCGTAGCCACTACGGATGCGAGCCAATATGGGACTTGCGCAGTGCTGCAACAAGATGATGGTGATGGCTTGTTTCCGCTCGAATACTACAGCAAATGCATGCCCAACGAAAAGGTAGCTACTTCCACATACATATGTGAGGTTTCCGCTCTGCGTACCAAGATGTAAGGTACACTGCACCAGCTTCCCAACTTACAATGAAACGTTTTCCTCTTTTAAAAATAATAATAATAATAATAATAATAAAATAATAAAAACCTTTAAAAGAGCCCAGACGTCCTTATGAACATGGCTGGCTCGATCCCAAGCTGTTGAAGCTCATTGGAGAGTCTGGGCTTCAAACCACAAGCTCGTGGCGCATTCAGTGCGCACTTGGCACTTTGCCATATCCTTTTTTCTTTTCTTTTTTTGAACATACTAAGGTGATGCTCCCCCCCCCCCCCCTTAACACCCTTAACACAAGCACTCAGCCATATCCGAAACGCTGCCTGTACATTATTGATGACTCTCAGCGGGACGAACACTCAAAGATCTCATCGTCGAGGGAGAGGCATTGTGTTGAGAAGGATGATAGGAATATCATACTGCTTAGTATATATATCTAAGACCTATAACTTATCCATTTCGTTTTTGAAAAGGATGATAGACAGGAGCCATCTGGGGGGGTGCTATAGGGGGGGACTGATCTTACCAATCCCTCCATCACTACCAGCCGAGGTAACAAAAAAAAAAAAAAAGAACGATCTTGATTACATTTTTTTTATTTTTTTTTTCTTAACTCTGTCCCCCTGCTAGGAGAGGTGGTAAGACCAGTACCTGGTCGCTCGGTTATATATCCGCAGTAGGAGGGCAGCAGAAAGGGGAAAGGGGGTTAGGAGGGAGCGACAACAGTTAACTAGGACATTTAGTCCAGATGCCTCGTGTTAAGAGCCTCTAAAGCCATTTCTGCAGAGTCACAGTTATTTGGGGCTGTACACCGTTCTGTGCGCCGGGGGTTTAGTCCCCGTCAGGCTTTTTTTCTTGCCCCGTAAGCGAAACTGGGTAAAGCTCCCAGAAGTTTATACCGGGTAGACTGTGAGGACCCCGGCCTCGTAATTCTCTAGGTTGGAATATAAGCCTTGGGCACTGGGCCCGTGAGTTGGAAACAAACAAACAAACAGACAAAAAAAAAAAAAAAAAAAAGGTGATAAGACCATCCCCCCCTACATTCCCGAATTGACTGTGGATAATTTATTGGAAGAGGAGATCGCAGAGACTCATCGTCGTTTTAACTAAGATCGACTGTAGCATCTGTTCTGATCAGTTTAATATCTGATCTGTGGTCCATCGAGAGGGGAAAAAAAAAGAGAGAGACTCATCCGCAATCAAGCCTGGCCTGGCTAAGTCTATCCATCACGCCCGTGCGCTTAGCGACATATTCGAGTGGGAAAGCCGATCCTGAACGTCCCATGATCGTTCTCGGTCCGGGTTAGTAAAAGAACACTTCTTTATGTACAAAGAGCTTCTAATTTCATTGAGTATATAATATTATAATTCCTTCAAATGATCATATATTATTTGCAAGGGGAAACTGCTCGTGGGTCACCTTTTCAGTTCGGAATGGTGAGAAAAAACACGGCGTCGCAAAATTGACGTCGGTCATCCGACTTGAAAAAGGCTAAACACACATTACCTGGCAGGCGTATGAGGGCCTCAGTTGATATTCATCAAATTATTTATTTATTTATTTATTTTCTCCCTGGTGTGAGCAGGCCTCGAAGTTCAGCTGCAACGGGCAGGGCCAAGCCCTAAGCAGTTGCATTCACCAGATGAATCTTCCTCTGGAACATTGCAATACAGCACCACATGGAGCCACAGCCATAGGGGAGCTCTCTCCTCGTTGCCACGATAGTCGGCGGGAGGGAATCTAACAACTAAAGAAGAATAGGAAAATAAAAGAAGGAAAACAGAAAAAAAAGAAGAATTCACCTAAAACAGTTACAGGCTGCCCGTAGAAACGGACGCCTGGCACTAACTCCGGGAGCTGCAACTTCCAGCTTCTCAAGTAAGCGCCACCTGGCGCCCTTTTTAATCTCCCTTTTTCCTTTTCTCCCCTCTGTTGGTTTGCTGCCAATGGTGGTTTCTCATTTCTAGTGCCTTCGCTGGCACTCACGGACTGGACTGGAGTCCAATTCCACGGAATCAACCGGAAACGAAAAGTAAAAATTAGGACCCTTTCTCTATTTATGCCTGTCATCCTTGTACAGCCGGGCTGGGTCATGGCCTCGATGTCCAGGCCACGGCCTCAATGTCTAGACTAAGCCGGGCTGGTTCGGGTCACGACGGAGATGTTGAGGCCATGGCCCGGATGTCTAGGCCATGTGTGAAAAAAAAAAAAAAAAAAAAGGGTCCGGAAAATGACTTAAGTGCCTATTTCAATCAGGCCTGATGTCTGAAACGCCCCCAAATGTTATTTTTCCCATTTTGGACTGCGGCGGGATGGACCTGCCTACAAGTGTCTTTTTTGCCTATTGAAAACGGGGGTTGTGACCCACAAGCAGTTGCCCCTATTTGCAAATACTAAATTAAATCCACAAAACAATCAAATAATTCAGAAAATGGCAAAAGAAACGTCTTTTTTTTTTCTTTTTTTTTTTTTAACCAGGGCAGCATCACTAGGGGGGTTGATAATCAAAGCATCCTCCCCTAGTGCGCCATCCGCAGTCTTTTTTGCACCAATGGACTGCAAAAGAAACATGTCTTTTTTTTTTTTTAGGGACAAAATGCTCCAGTCTATTCGTGGGGAGCAACACGTGCTGGGAACCGGGCCCAGCGTCCCATATAGAAATATACAAATGATTTGAAGTGCCAAGGCCATTATCTGGCTTCGGCTAAGAACAATCTGAGAACTATGAAAAGAGTTCAGGAAAAATTAAGAAAAACACCGGATAGCTGCTAACCTGCCAACCTATTACTTGGCTACTCAAGCAGCAATTAGTGGGAGTCCTTCAAAAGCTCAGAACCCCTGGAAGCCCCCCCCAAAAACACTCTAAAATTCTCTAATACTGTTTTCTTCCCTGCCGAGCTCTCCCAGGCCTCATGCCCCCACCCTGCTAGGTTACAGGGCAACACGACTCACCCCGGCTCCGGCCAGCGTCTGGGGGTTGGGAATTCTTGGGCTGTTCATTGAAGATTGGGGACAGACAGCGATTTTTGGGTTGTTTTCAAAGAGTGGGAAACGAATCGGACCTGTTACAGGGTCTGGATCTGTCGATCAAAGCTGGGCAGGACTATATGTCCTGGTCCAACCGAAGTCAGAAGGCCGCCGCTATTGCCGGTTGGCTACATAGGATCGACGCGAATTCGTCCCTGAGACACAAGATTCCGAGCCAGGTGATGCTCCTCAAAGTTTATTATCGTCGGAAGGCCTGCCCTCTGGAACTGTTCCTAAGGGTACTTGATAATTTTGCAGTCAGAAGGGGTCCGGTTTGGCAACTGACCGCAGACCTCATGAGACACTTCGCGTGACTTTGACGTTTTGTGGGTCAGCGTAGTTAGTCTGTTAGTATATAGTGTTTACCGGCTACTAATTCATCCTCTTTGAACAGCTTGACTCCTTCGGTAGTTGTCGCTATCTGGCTCTACTACCGTCTCGGTAGTCGCAGCTATGATAGCACAAGCTGCCTCACCGAGCACGACAGTCCTCGGAAGTTACGTACCTGTCAGGAAGTATCTCCTACGCATAGCTACTCACGCCGACAACTATGGCATCTTCAAGTCAGGCCCCTCCACCAGGGGAGGGCAGTGGATCCGGGAGTGGTGGACGACGAGTACCGCAATGCTACTCGTGCAAGCATTATGGACATTATGCTCGCGATTGTGGACTCTATTGGAAAGAAGAGAATGAAAGAGCCGATCGCAAGAGGCTGGAGAGTGAAGAAGCGGGAGCGGCGCAATCCCTTAAGGTGGACCAACCACGTGCAAGGTCGGCCTCGCCGAGACGTCGGTACTGGGAGCCACCTCGAAGATCACCATCCGCTGACCGCTATGCTTCCAGATATGAAACTCCAAAGGAAGTCAAGGATCCAACCAGTGAGCTGGTATCGATGCTGTTGGCGAAGGAGGCAGCTAAGGAACTGAGAAAAAAGGAGAAGGAGGAACGGATGAAGAAGCGACAAGAGGCGATCGAGAAGGAAGAGAAGCAGAGACAAAGAGAGGAGAAGAGGCAATGTGAGAAACTGGAGAATGACTTACGTGTAGCCAGAATCATTGATACGCAGATTTCCAAGCGTTGGGGCCCCGTCCGGGCTGTGCAAAATCAGGAAGAGAAGCAGGGGCGTAAGAAAAGGAAGAGAACTTTGCATCGTAAATTGCGACCGCTTCAACCGCGAGAAGGAACAGATACGGAGGAGGAGATTGCAGCCATTAATGCGGGTACTGAACACATGGAGCTTGGAAGCTCGACGAGTTCGGAGGATGAGGTTTCCCCTGCACCGACTCCGCTTACAAAAACATCTAGGAAGATGTACGGTACAGGGAGACGCCGAGGCAGACCGCATACCTTCCCTGTTGCACCGCGCAACATCGCGAAGGAGATCGTTCCCACACCGGGACCTGATGCACGTGGAAGATTCGTCCGGGAGCAGAAGCTGATGTTGGAGACCTTGGATTATAAGGAGGTGAAGGAGATTTGCAAGAAGGAACATGTTCCTTATGTTCGGAAGCATCAAGCTATTGAGGACCTGGCTGAACGACGTGCTGCGGCTGCTTTCGGGAGAATGAAGCAGGCTCCTACACCGGCGACGCACGCATCGGATCCAATATCCAGCAGTACGGACACCGCCTCAACCTCATCTGAGGAAGAAGGTGACAGCAGTGAAAGTGAAGTGTGAGGCTCTTTGCGAACATGTGAACTATGGTCGATTTGTCGTGAGCTTATTCGTAAGCGTGAGTTGAGTTCTCATGTTGATGGTGAGCTGGAGACTAACCTACGTTGGGTTGTTTCTGCTTTAGTGACACGTGGATGTCTACCTTGGGGGGATAAGTTCGTCGTCGATTGGAACAGGCTCTGTCTAGGAAGTGACGAGGGTATAGGGAAGGGTGATGAGTGTGTATACGTGGGAATCTCACCGTTTTGCAAATCTGTGTACATCGGAAAAACAGACAGGGATATTGACGTTAGGTGGAGTGAACACCGGAACCGGAGCAGTAATGAAGTTGCCGTTTGTCATTTCCATCGCTGGTTACGTACCTTTGGTAGGGATAATTATGTATTGCTACCGTTGGTAGCGTGAGTTGAGTTCTCATGTTGATGGTGAGATGGAGACTAACCTGCGTTGGGTTGTTTCTGCTTTAGTGACACGTGGATGTCTACCTTGGGGGGATAAGTTCGTCGTTGATTGGAACAGGCTCTGTCTAGGAAGTGACGAGGGTATAGGGAAGGGTGATGAGTGTGTATACGTGGGAATCTCGCCGTTTTGCAAATCTGTGTACATCGGAAAAACAGAGAGGGATATTGACGTTAGGTGGAGTGAACACCGGAACCGGAGCAGTAATGAAGTTGCCGTTTGTCATTCCCATCGCTGGTTACGTACCTTTGGTAGGGATAATTATGTCTTGCTACCGTTGGTAAAGTCACCCGCCGAGGAGCTAACGGCTATCGAATCAGTTTACATCAAACGCTGGTGTCCCGCTCTTAATTCGTCAGGTCTACGAAAGACCAACAGCCGACGAGATAGGAAAGGTAAGCGAGAAAGGAAGAAGAGCTCTGTTAGGAGGAAGGATAAGTGCAGCGAAGGAATTAAGATTGTGAATTTTCGTGTCAATAGGGATAAGCGAAGTAGCGTGCGGCTGATGAGTTTGCTGTTGGAGCAGGATAAACGACAAGTGAGAAGTTTCACGTTAACCTCTACGGGGGGTAACACCTGGTTCGATGGGTGGAGAAGACTCAAAAGACAGTTCGGTCAAACTTCGGTCCTATGTGCAGGGAAATCCTGCCTTCTACGGAACTGCAAATCTTTTTTGGAGCAGGGTGGGAGTTTGTCTGTTTTAAACCTTCAGTGATGGAGAGCTAGTAATTGTAAAGGAAAAAGATACCTCATCTCGCTGCTCAAGAAAAAAAGCAAACGGTCTTTGGCCTCGAAACGCGATCTGGATTTTTTGGTAGGCTTGTCGCCAGTGATTGAGGATTTCGGGAGGAAAAGTATGAGAACTCTATTACGACGAATCATTAATGGGGCAATTAGGGAAGGTTATGGGTTTGATCTTCAGAGGAACTTAGTAGCCAGAATACAGTACGATGATCGAGTTAGTTCAGGTGGAGTGCGAAAACTTGTGGACGTGAAGATAGATGGACTACATCTACCTGCCTCAGTTCGAACCACCCTTAAGCGGAAGGTTAGGACAGTATGGACTAAGAATCCATCTGTCGCTGACGTGTTACACAATCACCAACGTTATGCGCGTCATGATGTTTCAGCCTGTACCTGTGCTGATGTGCCGCTACCCAGGGTAAACGGACACGTGAGGTGTCGGATTTGGGAAGATCCACGCGTTCCTAAGTTTATGCACAATGCTTGCAACATTCCGAGGGCTTCTAAGACATACAGAGCGGATCTTTTGAGGGCGGAATTGACGCAAGCGTTGGAAAGTTGGAAGATTGGGAGTAGTGATTGGGTGAAGGTCGGAGCTGACGAGGCGATTGCATGTATAAATAGGAGTAATGAGAGACCTGCGGAAATGAATGTGGACGAGGTGCGTAGAATTGGAAGGATGTATGAGGGTTTGGTTCTGTGCCCTGCGGACAGGAACCCGGGTGAAACCATTATCTTATGTCCTAGACTATATCATGAGGCCATGCAGGACCTCTTTGTGCGAAGTAGCGGATATGTTGTGGTTTCTTCATCCGAGACACAAATCTTGGATGACATACGGGTAACCTATCGAGCCTCCAAATTTCAGACACTTGGGCGGTGGCAATGCGAAGGAACGATTGGTGACGGGTACGCTATTCCCAAGCATAAGGATTTGGGACGTTTTCATCCAATCTGTCCTACCTTTAGCGAACCACGTGTGTCTGCAGGAAGGATTATCGCGAAGGGTTTGAATGGTATGTTGGATGCGCTCCCGGGTAATTTGCACTTTAATTTGAAATGTGTTGGCCATCTCGCTGCTAAGATTAAAAAGATAAATTATGCTGCAGAGAGACAAGGACGCCACGTGGAGATGATCGGAGCTTCATATGATATTAAAGATATGTTATCCCGTCTTCCCCACCCGTCAATCTTTGAAGCCCTTCGTTGGCTTATTGACTGGCAGTCTGGCACAAACAAAAAGGGAGACGGAGTGTGTGGGTAAATCCGAGAGGGAAGGGAGCTTCGGTTTTTAAAGGGGTATCGAAGGATTTGGGATGGAAGGAGATTCATTTTGGGACGCTGTCTGATTATGTAAGCTTTAGTCTGAAGACTACGTATACTAAAGCATCCGGTATGATTCTCAAACAGGAGATGGGAATTCCCATGGGCAGCAATATGAGTCCTCCTTTTGCTTGCATACTGTGTGCATACTCAGAGTGGTGTTTTTTGGAAACGTTAGGGGGAATGCGTAACTTGGTCCATGGCATTCGCCTTATGGATGATGTGTCCATTTTTCTGATATGCAGGAAAAATGATCGTTCGTCCTATCTTCAAGCTGCACGAGTTCGAAGTCGATTTGAAAATTGTTACCCCCGGACCCTCTCCCTAAAAAGGACTGACGATGGGTCTGGGGGTTGGGAATTCTTGGGCTGTTCATTGAAGATTGGGGACAGACAGCCATTTTTGGGTTGTTTTCAAAGAGTGCGAAACGAATTGGACCTGTTACAGGGTCTGGATCTGTCGATCAAAGCTGGGCAGGACTATATGTCCTGGTCCAACCGAAGTCAGAAGGCCGCCGCTATTGCCGGTTGGCTACATAGGATCGACGCGAATTCGTCCCTGAGACACAAGATTCCGAGCCAGGTGATGCTCCTCAAAGTTTATTATCGTCGGAAGGCCTACCCTCTGGAACTGTTCCTAAGGGTACTTGATAATTTTGCAGTCAGAAGGGGTCCGGTTTGGCAACTGACCGCAGACCTCATGAGACACTTCGCGTGACTTTGACGTTTTGTGGGTCAGCGTAGTTAGTCTGTTAGTATATAGTGTTTACCGGCTACTAATTCATCCTCTTTGAACAGCTAGACTCCTTCGGTAGTTGTCGCTATCCGGCTCTACTACCGTCTCGGTAGTCGCAGCTATGATAGCACAAGCTGCCTCCATTTTTGTCGGGAATGACGGTACGACTGGCGGATCATAGGGTTGGTGGGTACGAAGTTGGTAGACAACAGGATGGGAACTCCGATGATGCTACTTTTTCCAATCTGACATCCCGCAGTGCGGGTCATTGCTGTTTACTGTCTTTGCGAGACTATGTACATGATTTGTGAGATGTGTGCATCTTTGTATTTGCCCCCCCTCCGGCCAGCGTCGTCGAATTAAAAACATCATAAATGGATTGGAGTTTTTTTTTTCTATAACCAAAAGCAAAAGCACATCTACTTCGCACTCACAAGTCCTTTCGGTGGACGGCACCGGGGTGGTGCAGCGAGGAAGAATGCCAAGGCACCCACCAAGAAAGCACCTGGCGGACATGGTGTCCAGGTTCTTGCACTCTGGGCAGTGGAGGTAAAGTGGCCAGAGTGCGGATGAGAGCTGTTATGCCATGTGCTCTTTCGAGTGCCCACGCTACCTGTCTTCCCCCCAACATAATGCACCCTGGTAATGAATGTATACAACCTATTTTTCCAGTCACGTACAGCCAAAATGAGGGTGCCTGGTAATGAATGCATATTGCGGGGAACGCAGCCCTAAAGTAGCCAAAGTAATGAGACCAAGAGCGTGCACACACACAAGAGAGAGAGAGAGAGAGAGAGAGAGAGAGAGAGAGAGAGAGAGAGAGAGAGAGAGAGAGAGAGAGAGAGAGAGAGAGAGAGTTTTGTTCCATTT